AAGCGAAGGGAGACCCCACCAGAACAGCAACCACAAAACTCCCCCTCCTCAGAGGACCTATACCAGAAGACATCCCATCCCAAAAGCCAGAGGTCTGGAAATTCCTGGTTTTGAAGAGGCCCAACCAGAAATCCCCTTCAGGGATTTCATGAATCCTGCAGGAGAATTTGGCAGCCAGGTTCTTGATGGTTTACAGATCCTGATTCTGATAAACAAATGTGCCCATAACCAACTCTCACATATCACTGAGCACTACAGGTCAGACTTTCCCTGCATCTCACTGAATCTAGATGCTCTAAAGGCCTCCTTCACCAGATTCGCCAAATCAACGACAGAAAAGACTGATGCTCTCACAAGCTCTGTGGAAAGCATTCATCATGTCCTGTACTCCATTCATCAGACTCTGCAAGCTCAAGATGCTGCCATTGAAAACTTTCCATTCTTGTGGATGACCTGCAATGGTCAGACAACAAAGCAAAGGAGCAACTGCAACAAATAGAGGAACTCTATTATGTCACTTCTCAATAGAATAAGTCGATTCTTGAAGCTGATAAGAGCCGATACCAGAAGTTGGTGCAGCTGGAGGCCAGCAACCAAGACATTGCAATTGCCATCAGAAAACAACAAGGCTTGGTTGAAGGACTCACCTATGTTACCCAAACTCTGCCTGAGGCCATTGAGGAAGTCCGAGATACTCAAGCCTCTGAGTTTTATAAAATTGAACTACTCCTTGGTGACCTCCTTGATGCTGCCAAAAAGGGGAAGAGGAATTTCAAGGTCAGAGCTCCAAAGCTCTAGCTACTTAACCACAGAGACCCTCCATTGAAACGGCTATTTACTTTGAGAAAACCAAACAGAAAAGGATAAAAGAAGGAACTTACAAGGGTCCCTCTGCTTCCAGAGCTTCAAAGAAGATACCCTCTACCTTCCCCTTCTCAGTTTGGAACAAGAGCTCCCTCCCACGAGCAAAGAGGGAAAAATTTGAAGAAGTCAGAAGAAGGATGACCCCTATGCACCAAGAAAACGTCTTCCTGGACACTGATGGACTTGTTCAAGTCCGTCATGGTGGCTCCATAGACGAAGCTAGTGAATGGTGGGCTAAGGAGATAGTCCCAGGAAAGACTGTGCAAGAAGGCATACTAAACTATTTGGACTGCAGACTCGCCCCTGCATGGATTGAATACCAGAATCCGAGGGACTTAACCACTACCAGAGAGCGGGTGAACAAGCAACTCAAGGCTTATGAAACAACAGGAGTAGAGGGAGAAGATTCTTAACTCTTTGATTCTTGTATCTTTACTTATCTCTCCTGAATAAATAACTGCTCTGCCTCTCTGTTTGAACGACACTATTTATTCTAACTCTGTCTGCTCTTGCTCTCTGCTAACCTTTCTATTCTGTTTGTTTTTGTTATGCTCTGATACCTTGTTTTATATATCTTTGTTTTCTAACACTTACTGATTTCCTATGCTAAGTTGCCCACCAAGATATTTAATGAAAGTTTTTAACTTAATCCTTTTTATGATGAAAGGCACTTCTCTGGAAGTAGAATAAGGGTTTTGGCATCATCAAAAAGGGGGAAATTGTAAGGAATAAATTGTATTTAGATTTTGATGATGCTAGGTTTATTAAGATATTAGAGTACCCCTTTAGAAATCTTGTATTAGAATATTCTTTATGTAAGTTATAGCATAATCAACATGCCAGAAACCCTCTTGGATCTCTTGATCAGTGTTGCTACCAGAGCTGGTCATCAGAGATAATACCAGAGCTGGGCACCAGAGTTGCCACCAGAGCAGACCATCAGAGTTGCTATCAGAGAACCTGATCAGACTTGCTTACACTTAGAAGAATTCGAAGGTGCTTCAAATAGTCGTTAAACTAACGGGATATTGCCTAACGGCTATGAGTCTCTCAACGGAAGTTGATACTGTTCACGCATTTAATGCTCATTTAATGAGCTTCACACGTTGGGATATTTAAAGCTGATGATTGACCAAAGAAAGATATTTGCGTGCCCAAAATAGCAAGTCCACTACTTTTTGGAAACCAACCGGTCAAATCAACAGTACATGCATTTAATGAAGATGTCCTCTACCCTCCAACGGGAAGACATCTCCCAGTATATAAGATACACTTCGAAGAACAGGAACCCTAACGATTCCTCAACGACTCAAAAATCTCTCTAAGTGCATACACTCAAACGCTCAAGAACACAACTTCATACTCTTCAAGAGCAACACAAGTTTTACGTTGGAAAAGATTATAAACTCCATATCTTTTCTTTCCAACGTGAGAGAATCGTTCCTCGAGTTCTTCAATACTTCTAAAGCCTCAACTACACATCCTTTGTGACGAAGCTACGTTGGAGAAACCATTTTTCATCTAAGCACTTCTTGTAAAAGAAGGGACATCTCAATTAATTGGAGTAATGAAGTGGAGATACTTCAAGAGACTCAGTGAACACAAGACCAGTCATCAGGAAGCCAAGAAGAGCATCCCGGGTGACAACTAGATTTGAAGAAGACGAAGAGTGCTTCTTAAGTGCTAGGACTAAGGCGTTGTAACTTGAGTTTTTACAAGCTTAGTGGAACAGTGGACTAGAGGAACACGTTGTTCCTTGAACCACTATAAGAATCCCCGATGTCATTTGCTTTACGCACTTTACTTTATTGCTTTAACATTCTAACTGTTCAACAGAAAGGAATTTGACTTAGTATTTTTCTGAGGCTACCCGAATAGAAAACCTATTCGCTGTCAAGACCAGTTCTGTCACTAGAACTCGACCATCTCTGTCAAGTCTGATTAAAACTTAGAGAAAAGTTTGAAAACTTGAACAGTGTATTCACCACTCTCCTCTAGACTGTTCTTTGTTTAAACGAGACCAACAGTTCAAGTTCAAGAACTTTGTTCATTTAATTTCTACAGGAGTTAGAGGTAAAAGTTTAGAAGTTGGTTCAAATCCAAAGATACCATATTCGAAATCATACTATGTCTATTAGAGTTGTGAGCCTACATCTATGGATATGTGGGGGGGGGGGGGGTGTATGAAATGATGATATAAATATTATTTTGAGGATCACAGTTTTGTGTCCTAGGATATAATTGTATTAAATATGGAGAGGAGGTTGATAATACATAGAACAACTTACATATTTGGATTTAATAAATAACCTAATCCATTAAAACATCCACTCGAAATCCAATGGAACGTGTTGGACCTTTGGGTTGGTAGAATAAACCTCCACAGTATGTATTGTCATATAGCTAGCATTAACTAATATCAATTTCAATAAAAGGAAATTGATATCCCAAGGAATCTTCTAAAGTATAAATTATTATATGCCATATCTAATAATGTTACTATTATTAATAAATAATCAAAAAATTAACTGCTAATAGCCTAATAGTAATCAACTAAGCAAACATTTATTCCAAATATGATGATGATGATAATAATAACAATAATAATAGTATTAATAATAAAAGGACCATTTAATTTACTAGACTCGTTTGTAACTAAATCATTATTGTAACAATTGCATACAAGAAGTTACTAGAAAGGGTGTTTTAAATTGATTTTTTTCAATCTTAGATCAACTAGAATAGACTTAAATAGATCAAATTAGAACAGATTTTAGCAATTATAAAATACTTTACACAAGACCAGATTTGAAATAATATCAGTCAAATAGGTGAAGGGATAGCTGAAGGGGTTTCTTTACCCTTCAGCTCTAACTACTGTTGGATGGAGTCTACCTATGAATGGGAGATATTTCTCATTTGCAGGTAAGCTGTGAATGAGGTTTAGATAGGGTTGGATTCGGTTCGGGCCACCCGGCCCGTGACCCGGCCCGGCCCGGTACTGTGCGGGCCCGGGACCGGCCCGGTCGGGCGGTCCGGGACCGGGTCTGGGCCCGAACCGGGGGGAAGGGGCGGGGCGGGCTCGGTTCAGCATTTTTGTGACCCGGCCCGGCCGGGTCGGCCCCGGGCCCGGGTCCGGTTCAATTAAATTTTTTTTTTTTTTGGTTTGGGCTCCTACTAGCCGTTGGGGTGGGGCTGGGGACAACCCAAACGGCTATATAGCCGTTGGGTGGGGTAAAGGGGGGGTCCGGGGGGGTTGGGTGGGTGGGGTGGGGTGGGGGGGGTGGGGGGTAAAAAAACCTATAAATACTCCTAATCTTAAACATTTTTTCATATCTCTTCTCCAATTCTTCCTATTCTTATCTCTCTACTCTCTAATTCTCTTATTCTCCAATATATTATATATCTACTCTCATATTCTCTTCTCCAAGAAGTTAAGATGGAAAATCAAAATGCCATTATACGGTATAATTTTGATAAGCAGAAGGACCCGAAGACCGGGATGTGGTACGCAATTTGCAAATGGTGCGAAAAAAAATGTATAATGGGGGCTTCAGGCGGATTCAGGATGACAATCAAGCATATGAAGTCATGTGACAAAGCCAAAGGATCGGGAGGTGCAGGAAGTTCCGATTGATTACAATTTTCAAAATGTTTATCTCTTAAAGTTTGTTTTAATTTTCAAATGTAGTTCCTATTTCATTTCAAATAAATGCAATTGAAGTTTGTTTTTAATACTCGTATAAAACTATAAACTATAAAAAATAAATTATAAAAAAAATAAAATTAACCGGCCCGGCCCGAACCGGACCCGACCCGTGACCCGGGCGGGTGGCCCGGCCCGAACCGGACCCGTCCAACCCGCGGGCCGGTCCCGGGCCCACTTTTCTTGAACCGGCGGCCCGACCGGGCCTAGGCCCGGCCCGGGCCCGACCCGGCCCGAATCCATCACTAGGTTTAGAGGAGGTGTCGTTTAAGGTTCAAATGGGGGCATCTGCTTACCGTTAGGCAGTGGCGCTCCTCCAAGGTGAGCCCTTCTTCGGGTGTTGAATGTCTTGCCACGAATTAGCTTACAAGCAATTTGTGTTTCTAGTTCCCAAGGTACTTTCATTCAAAAAAGTAAGCAATTTGACTATTAGAGATTTCACTTTATTGATATGTCACAAAGTGAAAGTATCTAGTCCGTGTATATGGGGTATTGTGGCACCATCATCACCAAGCATAGAAATGACAAATCGCTTTCGTGAGACAACCGAAATGTAGTGAAAGTAGTTCTTTGATTCATGTAATGAAATGTGACCAACTTATATACCCTGGCCTACTGAAGCACCCACAACCGTATATTATTCAAGATTAAGGTTTTTTCTTCCATATTGGGTATAACAAGAGGACTCGCTCTGACTTATTGTGAAAAGTGAACGTGTGTATCATCAGTGTATGTGTTCACGCACACAAAGAAACAAGAATTCAAGCACCCGCAGCATTCTCAATCGTCTCTATGCATTCTATTACTGAAGCGTTCTTCGACATGGCTGCCATCAAGTCTTCATGAACCCCTCTATTATTCTTAATCAGTGAGCCCGCAAATAGAACCTGCAACATATACCCTTCCCCAAATTAACCAATTAAAACAATGTCCTTCAACTAAAATGACAAAATGTACAAAATCAAAAGCTAAATATTTCAAAATGCAAATGTAACACAAGCATTACTGCCCATCTAGTCAGATTTTGTTGTTGCTCTTTGTTAAGTGTCGGCTTGCTCCTATTTATAAGCCTCTGTCAGACACAACAAGAAAGACAGCAATTTGAAATTGGAAAAAAGAAACACACAAAAACATTCAAGTCATAGGTTGTCCCAGGTTGATAAGATGGGATGACATCATAGGCAGATAATACGCTAAATATACCAAAAAAGGTCAACATTATAGTTGCACATTAAGAGTTAGGGTTCCACAGTAATGCAGGACCTGTGGAACAAATACTACAACAAAGACATGAAGAAATAAAGACGGTAGACCTGAAGAGTGAAGAGATCTGCTGATTGCCCCAGCACACTATTGTACTTTAGACCTTCTGCAGCCAAGCCTGCCATTGCTACAACTGCTAGCCTGGGAATTTCCATCACCATTCTCCCTCAAAAATACATTTCAAATATGATGGATTCATATTGTTATAGTGTTCAATTTAATAGAAAACCAATCAAGATAATTACTTCAATGCTGAGTAACAAACAAAATGACATAAAAAAGGAACTCAAGGACTGAGATAGGGTTGTAAACGATTCATATGTATTGATTCGATTGGTGATTCTAACTCGAAATATTCAAATACAAATCCGAATATGAACATATATTTGATCTGACGTACTTTCAAACACAAATATGAGTATATGTGTATTGAATTCGAATATTGAGATACTCGCATATCAAAATTTATCTATAAACATTAGGAAAAGCCACACTTTTAATCCGTCATTTATTTCTCATATAGGAATATAATCAATGTCTTTTAATTTTTGCAAATATCATTGCTTAAATGTGTAAGAGGACAAACTATAGTCCCCACCGCCATTGATGATGTAAAAAACTTAGTTTCTACATAAATAACGGCACAGACTACATTTGCAACAAATTGTGCAGTTGAGGACAATAATCGTAACATGTTGCACAATTAAAGGATGAAATTTGAAATGTTGTCCGTTACATTATTATGGAATGAGATACCAACTAAATTTACAATATATTCCATAATTAGAAAAATACGATATAAAAATAATACTTCCATATGCGTAATAAATGAGAGAATAAGCTCCCCCTAAGCATTATTATATGTGCAAATGCTTTACATTTTCATTATATAAACTCAAACGTTAAACTATATATATGAATTCATGAAAGCTTATTATTGTCCGAAAAAGTTAAATACAGACAAAGAAGTCAAGTATTTTACTATGGTTCATGAATTCTTAGTGTCGAATCAAGCTAAATATGTTAATTTAGTTGAACAAAAATTATATTCTGACGTTACTAAAATTAAGATTATGTCGTTTGACGAAATATGATAGTTTTTGGCAAATATGTTAATTAAAAAATTTAATGTAGCATTTCCCTCTCCAACCTAGTCCAACCTAATTTTCAAAATCCGCCCCTTGGCGTGATAAGATCATAGACTAAACTGAAAATAAATTAGATCCAATCGTTGAGTGTTGTTTGACAAAGTGTTATGATCTAGTCAGTGACCCCAACTCAATCATCAATTCTATCACAATATCTTGATGTCAACTAGTTAGATTCAAAATAGTCTGTCAGTGTCAGTGATGTCTTAATAAGACCTTTAGTTGAATTAATTAATACTCCGTAGGTTTGGCTGAAATGTCTTATGCTCAAGTACAATGACGCAATCCAATTCTAAATTCTATTACGGACGCATATATTAAGCGTGAACACATTTGATATCTCATTATACTGGCAACCATTTTTTGTGGCAGTATTTTACAAAAACAAAAAACCTACAAAGACAATGAGTTACACAGCAAGAAACAAACTAAAAATAAAAGAGATACTTTGAGTAATGAGTTGGGCACTTGGGCACCTGTCTAATTCTTTTGAATCAAGTTGTCCACTATATATCAGCTTTTCCAGCCTCTCATCAATGAGATTGACATTCTCTTTCCCAATATCAAGCGAGTAGCCAAGGATGGGAATGCCAATTAAGTACGCCACTGAAATTCAATGACACACGATCTTTGTCACATGGATGGGTATGCAGTGGCAACTGGCAAGTATAACACGAGTTAAGTAGTGCAACAGTGAGACGGAATGGAGTATTGAGATATTGGTCCAACAAATCCAGTGAGGCCCAAATCCATTAAGGTAAAAAGACCGCTCCGCTACTTTGACTTTTATTGTTAAGGGATGAGGGAGGATTGTATTTAGAAGGAAAAAACTGAACATGAAAACAGAAATGATGCTAAAAATGCAAAAACTGGCATCAACGGTAACAGCCTTGATATGCAACTTCAGATATCATAATAGGTATTAGCCATATTCTAAAGATGATATATCACCTAAGAAGTGAGCTGCTTCATGACTAGTGATCCTATCCTTGTATTCAGGGGAAAATGAGGAAAACACATCAATGGCTGCCTGGAGAAGCCTACACCATGATTTAAAAATAAAAAAGTCTACGTTTTTTGTATTAGAAAACATGAACCTTTTTAATTTATTTATTTTTTGAACGAGGTAGTACATTTTATATTTTAAACTTACCCAGGGGAAACGCTTCCAACAGCCAAAACTATCAGGGAAATGCTCCCAACCAAATAGGGTACAAAAAAACCCCAATCCTGGAAACAGAAATAGTTGACCAAACTATGTCAAGTATAAACCACTAGCTTAAAATCACCGAAAATGCGAAGTTTTGAGCTCAATAACATTACAAATTTCCATGTGTTAACAGTCCTGTTCTCATTCTGATTAACTACAGTGATTATAAATAATAGAGTTATCAAATAATCTAAATCACATTTCACTCTAGACATCATATCCATTCAAGCTTTCATATATGATTGAAGTTTTATAAACAAAAAGAAACATGTACTCAAGGCAATGTGATGTAAAGGGGAAGGACAGGAGTCCAAAACCCTATTGGTTTTGAATGAAGATATCAGGATATTGTTGATATGTCAACAAGAATTGGGGACAATGTGAAACTTAAAAAAAGGAATGTGCATAAGAAAGAGATGTTTTTAGAGAGTAGAGAAGATGTTACCCCAGGGAGTTGACCGGCAAGAACACCCAAAAACCCCGTAGTTCCTACTACTGTGAAGAGAAATGCAGCCTGCATCAGTCAGAAATCAATCTCATAACAACAACAACAACATCCAAAAGGAAAAGAAAGAAAATAAAGATAAAAAAGATAAGCTATTATAAAAAGAATATAAAAAGAGATGAATATACATAAAAAAGATAAAATAAAAAGGATACAAATAATGCTTATATATATAAGGATAAAAAACAAGGAAAAAAAGATGAGGGGAAAAGATGATACTACATCACTCCTCCACACGAATACCCGCCCTCCACTTAGCTCTCTCCAAAGTCATGCTCTCATCCAACCCCATCCAACCCCAGAAGAAGCATATCACTTCGAACTTCCCTAACCCACGTCCGTTTGGGTCTTCCTCTCCCTCTCTTCTCTGCCTCTTCTCCACACATCTCAACTCGTCTGAGAGGTGCATCAATCGGTCTTCTACGCACATGACCAAACCACCGTAGGCGTGACTCCCACATCTTGTCTTCAATAGGTGCTACTCCCACCCTTTGTCTGATTGTCTCATTCCTCACGCGGTACTTCCTAATATGCCCACACATCCAACGCAGCATGCGCATCTCTGTCAACCACTCATTTTTTGAATGTGACATTGTTTCACCGCCCAACACTTTACGCCATACAGTACAAGCCTAATTGTTGTCCTATAAAATTTACCCTTCAGTCTAGTCGGCATACCCCGATCACATAGAAATCCTGACGCACTTTTCCACTTCATCCACCCTGTTCTGATTCTATGTCATCAATATCTCATAACACACGAAAGAAAATGATCACCATGCACAGATGCAATATGTCATCAAAGGAAAGTATCCAAAAAAGGAAAGTATTTTCATAATGGAAGTGTGTCAATTTCATAACTTTAGGACATGTTCGCTTAGAATTATTCAAGTACAAGGCCCAAGCTGACTTATGTAGAGTTGCAGTCAAAACTAGAGCATTTTAACAGTAAAAAATAATATCATTTCACGTGTTTTGCTAAAAACAATACCATTTTTTCCGTTTACAGAAACAATGATAGGAATAAATAATAAGTGGGCCTATTATTATAGATAATAAGAAGTGGGGGGAAAGGGTTATGGGCTATATTAGTAGTCTATCCCTACGAGAGTATTAACTATACATAGAGGTGAGAGTAGCTAAATAAAGCAGTTTGTTATTCAGTTGGCTTTTGGCTTGGAGAGTGGGCTTCTCGAACAGTCCCAAGGCTTGTATACGTAATGTGATCCTTTCCCGTTCAATAAACATCTTTGATCATTTACAGTATATTTATTTATTGATCTGCTACGTTTATATTGTGAATTTGTTAGCGATCTATCATTGGTATCAGAGCATAGCTCCTGGGGATCGGAATTGAGTTGCGATCTCAGCGACAATTTCGCTTCAAGTGGTGAATGGTACGGACGTGAGCTAAAATGGATATTCGCGTGGATAACCTGGATGTTCAAGTGGAGATGAAGGATGAATTACCGTCAGCAGTGAACGATCAGCGCTCAACACTGGAAAATTTGGCGGCAAACTTGACGGCTTCCATGGCTGCCTTAAGTGAGCAATTTCGGTCCAGGGCTAGATCGCGATCACCACATCAGCCTCAGACGCGGTCTTTTAACACTCCAACCACTTCCGGAGGTAATCCAAATCACTCTCGCATCCAAAATCACATAATACATGAGGATTGTATTCTGAAGAGAAAGCATATAATTGGATTGTGAGAATGGAGAGGTATTTCTGCCTGAACCAGATTAGTGAAGAAGAACAGGTGGAAGCTGCAGTTGTCGCGATGGAGGATCGAGCTCTAAACTGGTTTATTTGGTGGGAACACCAAACTGAAAGGAAGAATTGGGCAAATCTGAAGACTTCTATCATACGCAGGTTTCAGCCAGACCTAATTCAGAATCCGTATGGGCCTATGCTTAGCCTGAAACAAACTGGGAGTTTAAAGAGGAGTTCGAAATGGTATAGCTCCTCAAATCAATGTGGATATGGAGATCTTGAGAGGAATCTTCCTTAATGGCCTGAAGGATGAGATAAAAACAGAACTGAAGTTACATAACTCCACCTCCTTGACTGAAATTATGGACAGAGCTCTACTAATTGAGAGTAGGAATGAAGCAATATATCTAAAGGGCAAAGAAGAAGACAGGTTACCTTGGAAGGAGAAGGGGGCTGCTGCTGTTAAATCACAAACATGGACCGAAGGATTTGAACCTAAAATGGGGAACTCTTGGCCTAATACTACTGGGAAGAGTGTAGCTGAAAACAAGAGTAAACCATCTTGGTTTACTCCTAATGGGAAGAAGGAGACAGAAATAACTCCCTCAGACATTAGAAGGGTGGGGCCACAACTGTCACAGGAAGAATATCAGGACAGGAGCAGGAAGAGACTTTGCTTTAAGTGTGGGGAAAATGGAACAAAGAACATACCTGCAAATTAAAGAATTACAAACTAATACTGGTGGAAGATTCTGATAGTGAGGAAGAAGTACAAGGTGCAGAAGTGGTAATTGAAGCTAAAGAAGGAATCACCATGGAATTTAAGTCAATGCAGTTGTCTCTTATGAGTAAAGAAGGGATACCTTCTATAAGGACTTTCAAGGTAAAAGGGAGTTTAGAATGGGCTGCAGGGAGGGCAGAGGTTGAAGTACTCATTGATAGTGGGGCTACCCACAATTTTATATCACAGAGGTTGGTGGAACAATTGGGACTAAGCATACACACCATTACTGGATACAGAGTTCAAATTGGTAATGGAGAGAAGATTATCAAAAATGGCAGATGTGAGAATCTAACACTAGGTTTACAAGGTACCAAAATAAATTAGCACTTTTATGTTTTGGATCTGGGAGGTACAGGCTTGGTGCTTGGGATGGAGTGGCTGACTACTTTGACTTTGGGTGATGTGGAAATAAACTTTCAGAAACAAAGTATAAAATGGAAGGTTCAAGGAGTTATTGAGCAGATTCAAGGGGATCCACACTTGAATTCCAGTGAGATATCAATGATAACCACTGGTGATGGTTATTTTGGGTTTTATGAAGGAATAATCCTCCAAAGTAATTACAACGACAAGATTCAGGAATCACTTGGATGGAGTGAAAAGCCAAAGGTGAAGGAAGCAATGATGAAGATCCAAGCACAGAAGATAAAAGCCCAGAAATCAGCGAAGTACTGGAAGGGGAGAGGTGCAAGAATGAAGTGGAAGTTGAAGATCATGACTATTCCTTATTACCCACCTTGAGGCCACCTTGAGGACAAGGTGGTTGTTTAGGAGGGGAGTATTGATAGGAATAAATAATAAGTGGGCCTATTATTATACTCCCTCCGTTCCTATTATAACTTCCAACTTTCCTTTTTCGTCTGTTCCAATTAAAACTTCCACTTTCCCTTTTTTGTAAAGAATTTGTGGTTCACAACATTTCTGTAAGTTTGAAGAATTAATCTTCCTTGTATGTTATTGAGCCATCCGGCAATGATATATATACAAGTTACAGATAAGGTTAAGTTGTTACAGATCCTAAAAAGTAGGATCTATCTATTCTATCTATTCTGCGGGCTAATCTAATAATTAGAGACCTCTATCTACTCTAATTCTTATCTATACAGTCCCGGATGTACAAATAATAAAATAACATGTAAATGCTACATTTTTCTACACTCCCCCTCAAGTTGGTAAGTATATATCATACATTCCCAACTTGCTTATAAGAAATTCAAACACTGGTTTAAACAGCCCCTTTGTAAAGATATGAGCTGTTTGTTCTTTGGTAGATATGAATGGTGTGCACACAATTCCAGCTTCAATCTTCTCTTTGATAAAATGCATGTCCACTTCAATGTGTTTAGTACGATCATGTAGCACAGGATTGTGAGCAATATTAATGGCTGCTTTATTGTCACAATATAACTTCATAGGTAGTTCCATTTCCATATTCAATTCTGACATCATTCTCTTGATCCAAAGTAGTTCACAGATTCCATTAGCCATAGATCTGAATTCAGATTCTGCACTACTTCTAGCAACCACATTCTGCTTCTTACTCCTCCAAGTCACTAGATTCCCCCATACATAGGTACAATACCCAGATGTGGACCTTCTATCAGTTATTGAACCAGCATAATCTGCATCTGTAAAAGCTTCTACACTTCTATTGTCACCTTTTTTAAAAAATAATCCTTTCCCTGGACAGCTTTTCAAATATCTTAGGATTCTGTAGGTAGCATCTAGATGTTCCTGGAATGGATTATGCATGAATTGACTAACCATACTGACTGCAAAGGCAATATCTGGCCTTGTATGTGCCAGATAAATCAGCCTTCCCACCAATCTCTGATATTGGTGAATATTAACTGGTACTCCTTCCTTGACATTTCCTAACTTTTGATTAGGGTCAATTGGAGTATCTATTGGTCTGCAGACACTCATACCTGTTTCATGGAGTAGGTCTGGTACATACTTCCTCTGAGATACCACAATTCCCTTCTTTGATCTGGCTATCTCCATGCCAAGAAAGTACTTCAATTCTCCCAGGTCTTTGATCTCAAATTCCTGAGCAAGCTTCTTCTTCAGGTCTTCAATCTCTTTACAATAGTTTCCTGTAAGAATGATATCATCCACATAAACAATTAGTACTGCAATCTCTCCCTTAATGGAGAATTTCATGAATAGTGTATGGTCTGCTTGGGCTTGCTTGAATCCCTGCTTCTTTATGAATTGAGTAAACCTTTCAAACCAAGCCCTTGGGGACTATTTAAGTCCATATAAGGCTTTCTCCAGCTTGCAAACCTTTGAGCCATATTGTTCCTCAAACCCAGGAGGGGGGCTCATGTATACTTCCTCTTCAAGCTTCCCATTTAAGAAAGCATTCTTCACATCTAACTGTTGAAGAGGCCAATCTATGTTAGCAGCTAGAGATAGAAGGATTCTTATAGTATTTAATTTTGCAACTGGAGCAAAAGTTTCTGTATAATCTATGCCATAGGTTTGTGTGTATCCTTTGGCAACCAATCTGGCCTTATATCTTTCATGTGTACCATCTGCCTTGAACTTAGGGGTAAATACCCATTTACATCCCACTGTTGGTTTGTTTTTGGGTACTTCTACAGCCTGCCATGTCTGATTCTTTTCAAGAGCATTCATTTCTTCTAAAACAGTCTTCTTCCACTCAGGTATAGATAGAGCTTCCTGTATGGTTAAGGGAATAGAAACAGTGGAAAGACTAGAGGTAAAGGCTGCAAATGATGTAGATAACTGAGAATAGGACAGATAGTTTGAGATAAGATATTTAACACATGATCTTTTTTCTTTTCTGAGAGCAATGGGTAGATTTAGATCACTGAAATTATTACCTTTGTCATTTTCTGACATTGAGTCAGATTCATGGACAGTGCCAGGATCAGGGATGTCCTCTATTCTTTGATTTGGAACTCTCCTTTCATAAACCTTGCCAAAAAACTTACTTGTCTGTTGTTCACCATCTTTCGTTGTTTCAGAAAATTTTATTTCATTTTCTTTTGACTCTTGACTATTTTCTAGTGCATCTAACTGTCTATTATATTGTGCATCTAGACTAATGTCAAGAGATCCAAGTTTTTCATGGATATGTGACACATTATCACCATCTTCATTAGGAATCTCCCCCTGAAGATGAGTACCAAAAAAAGATTGATTTTCAACAAAAACAGTGTTCATTGTTACAAACATCTTTTTTGTTATAGGGTCAAAACATTTATAGCCTTTCTGTGTTGAAGATAGTCCTAAGAAAACACATTTTTTGCCTCTAGGATCAAATTTGCTTGCAGTTCTGTCAGGGTTGGTAATAAAAACTGTGCAGCCAAAAATTTTTATGGGAAGAGAATTAATAAGCCTAGTTTCAGGAAAACTGGCTTGAAGGGTATCAATAGGAGTTTTAAATCCTAGAGTTTTTGATGGCATCCTATTAATTAAATAGGTAGCATGTAAAACAGCTTCTCCCCATAAATATTTTGGAATTTTAGCAGAAAACATAATTGCACGAGTGACTTCAAGCAAATGTCTATTTTTCCTCTCAGCTATACCGATCTGAGCAGGTGTATTTACACAGGAACTTTGATGAATAATTCCTTTTTCAGCAAAAAAATTATTTAACTTCTTAGAAAAATACTCAAGACCATTATCACTTCTCACAATTTTGATATTAGTGTTGAATTGAGTCTGGATCATTGAGTAAAAATTTTTGAACACCTCTTCAACCTCAGATTTTTCTTTAAGTAAAAAAACCCATGTGACCCGTGTGTGATCATCTATAATAGTTACAAACCACCTTTTTCCTTTCAGAGTTGGAACTCTAGATGCACCCCAAATATCACTGTGTACAATAGTAAAAGGACTAGTTGGCTTGTAACTATGAGGGATATAAGAACTCCTATGATGTTTGGCAAGTGCACACATATCACAATGAAATGATGAAGGATTTTTATTATGAAATAACTTAGGAAACAACAATTTCAGATAAGAAAAACTTGGGTGACCTAATCTATAGTGCATTAAATACACTTCATCATTACAAGGAAAGAAAATAGTTTGCAGACAAGTTTTTTCTTGACCTTGTTTATTCAATTGTGTTTCTTCATCAAAATTATAGAGGCCATCCTCCTCTCTAGCACTGCCAATCATCCTCCCTGATGCCAGATCCTGAAAAATGCAATAAGAGGGATAAAACTTTACACAACACTGAAGGTCTTTGGTTATTTTGCTAATAGAGATAAGATTGCAGGAAAGTTTTGGAACATGTAAGACTTTGGAAAGGTTAATGGATGAGGAAATTTTAATATTTCCCATCCCTGCTTTGGCTGAAAAAGAGCCATCTGCTGCAACTCTAACTTTCTTATCTCCTGCACAAGGTTGATATGAAGAAAAAAACTTTGGAATGTAGGTCATGTGGTCTGTTGCACCTGAGTCAATGACCCAGGTGTTTTTTGGTTTTTCAGAACAAAAAAATGATGTTATTTACCATTTTGGGCAAAAGAACAGGTATGGTTTTCTTGGTTGGAGATTTTCTGGGTGGGTATAAATTTGAGTAGGTACTCTATCTGTTCCTGAGTGAATGATAGCTGTTTAGATTCAACTCCTGACTCTTGTTGAGTCTCAGTCACAGTAGTTTGTAGGGCCCTCTCTACTTTCTTCTTTCCAGCTCCTGGTGGTTTTCCATGAAGTTTCCAGCATGTTTCCCTTGTGTGCCACAATTTCTTGCAGTGATCACACCAAGGTTTTTTCTTGTTGTCATCACTTCTGGCCACCAAAGATGAAGAGTCCCCAGGTTCCAACCTCATTAGCTACTGGAGTGTTGTACATGACCCTCCTCCTACTATCTTCCAACCTGATCTCAGAAAATACCTCTCTGATTGAAGCCAGAGGTTTCTTCCCCAGTATTCTGCCTTTTACTTCATCTAGGTCTCTATTAATTCCTGCTAGGAACATATAGACCCTGTCATTTTCCTCTCTCTTCTTGTGTCTTGCCAGATCCTTGGCATTTTCCCAGTCTTCAGCATCATAGCATTGGTCCAACTCTTGCCATAGAGATACCATCTCATTATAGTATGAGATGACATCTCTACTTCCTTGTTTGGACTGCCACAACCTTGTTTTTAATTCATAGATCTGAGAGGAGTTCTCAAGATCTGAATAGGTTTCTTTAATTGAATCCCATACCTCTTTTGCAGTTTTCATGAACATGTGAGGTTTGGCAATTGATGCATCCATTGAACTGAGAAGCCAGGCTGTTACCAAAGAGTTTTCTGACCTCCAGACATTGTAGCCATCTTCACCATTCTTCTTCTCCTCTACTTCACCCGTTATGTATCCCAACTTTCCTCTTCCATCTATTGCCAGTTTGACAGACTGTGCCCACTCTAGGTAATTGGTTCCATTCAATCTATGTCCAGTAATGAGCATAGATGAATTAACCGATCCCTGGTAATTTGTCATTTGGCTAATTTGGGAGTTAGGGTGATGGGTTTGTGAGTGGGTGGAGGAATCAGAGTGTTCAGTGTCCACCATTGTGGTGTTTTAAACAACAAAGCTCTGATACCATGTAAGTTTGAAGAATTAATCTTCCTTGTATGTTATTGAGCCATCCGGCAATGATATATATACAAGTTACAGATAAGGTTAAGTTGTTACAGATCCTAAAAAGTAGGATCTATCTATTCTATCTATTCTGCGGGCTAATCTAATAATTAGAGACCTCTATCTACTCTAATTCTTATCTATACAGTCCTGGATGTACAAATAATAAAATAACATGTAAATGCTACATTTTTCTACAATTTCTTACACATTTCTCTCTCCTCTGCATAACTCTCCACCACACAATACCCACTATCTTAAATTGTGTGCCAAACCTATTTGGAAGTTATAATAGGAACGGAGGTAGTAGATAATAAGAAGTGGGCCTGTAATATTAATAGCAGGGAAAGGGTTATGGGCTATATTATTAGTCTATCCCTACGAGAGTATTAACTATAAATAGAGGCGGGAGTAGCTAAATAAAGTAGTTATTCAGTTGGATTTTGGCTTGGAGAGTGGGCTTCTCGAACAGTCCCAAGGCTTGTATGCGTACTATGATCCTTTCCCGTTCAATAAACATCTTTGATCATTTACGGTATATTTCTTCATTGATCTGCTACGTTTATACTGTGAATTTGTTAGCGATCTATCAAACAAGCCATTCATTGTCTCATTAATGGAACAATATCGAACCATTGCTCCAAAATTGCAAATTAACTCAAATGGAGGAATGAAATGGGTATGAAACTGATAGTCAAGAACTAGTTGAGGTTGATTTTGAAACTGACAATGAACCCACTCTGCAACTCGCATAAATAAGAAAACCCGAGTTTTATTGTAACATACATCATTTCTAACACTTGGGATTGCAAGATTCTCAGCATTTTTCATCCCCAGTGACGTGAGCTCTCGAACATATGTCTGCAATAGATATTCTAATGAATAAATCCAAGTGCACGTTGAAATTACACATTATTAATAATGTCCTTCTACAGCTTTTGTATTCTAATGTTTTTAAAAAATGTCCAAGGCAGCACAGAGTTCACTGACCGTGCGGCAAGAAACATATGGCTGAGAGCTCCATCTTTTAGCCCAACCGACTTTGCGCAGTTCATCAAGTGCCTCCTCCACAGATTGACTATCTTTCTGCTTCACACAAACTTGATAAAAAGTTTGCAAGAAAAAACAAATAACAAAACTATGGATTGTGAACTTTAAAAAACTCTTGGACTATGACTGGATGGGCTTAAGATGTTTTACAGGAAAGCCTACAAAAATGGCACATTTTTCGGTAAAAGGCTAAAGAATAGTTAGCTATGTGTTTGATTCGCGGCTTTATGCTTTAAAATGTGCTCACCGTCCCCATCATATAAGCACTGGGCTCTCTATTCAATACTCACTCCGTTTTAAACCGGCGTGAAAGTGGCCGATTCGACTTTTCCAAGCAGAGTACAACAAAAGCTGTTAATAATGATAATGGGAAAGGCGAATGGAGAGAGAAAGGTGGCACCTTTGACAGGGCAGACATCAGAGGATTCAAGTCAACATCTCCCGGAGCTGAGGATGTGGAGAGTGTGATGATCCTGCGCCTGCATTTTATGGGATTCGGAGTTGAACTACTTGGATTGAATCGCAGTGTGTTATAGTATTGAGTGGCCAGAGGAGAAAGATCACATGGAAAACGAGGACAGATTGTGGGCATCTCCTCCTCCTCCTCCGAGTCTTTCTACTTTCTTCTTCCTCTAGTTGTTTCCATCGACTTTAAATGTGTGAAGAAGATGTACTGGTCTAGTGGTAAGAGTCCGTATATCCTACACCTATGTACATCAGGTCCAATTAAACAAAAAGCCCATAACAAAAGTGGTCCATAATTTTACGGGTAAAGTAGCAATTGAAACAATTAATACAAAAACGGAAAAGTAACTCCTCTCAAAAATTGAACTGCTTTCTGAACAACTGTTCGCAAAAAGACGCTAGCATTCGTAACCGTCGTATTTGAGCTCAAAAAATGAGGACAATCGGCAGAATTTTTGGTGGAGTTTTTGCCGTAGTTTTTGTGCATTTACTGACGGAGTTTTTGTGGAGTTGGCGAGAACCGAGAGAGTTTAAGCATCAACTTGTTCGTCTTTGAGCATTGAAAACAGGGATGGACTTAGTGAGCGAGTATCAAATGATGTTAAACGCAGAAGAGCATGACAATGCAGAAGCATCTGAGAGGTATATCATATAATACTGTTTTAATTTATATTTTAGTAATGATTAACGAATATACTTGCATGTTGCAAAAATTACAGAAAAATTGAAATGATCTGGACATATCTGAAGTAGATTATGAATTTGATGTGTTATATGTGTTGATTAAGTAAATCAATGGAGGATTTGTTCAATATACGAAATGTAATGCTCATTTTACTCGAATTTAAGTGATATAAATTATTAACTACTTAGAACATGATGATATTGTAGTTAGGTTACATGTAATGTGATAAAATACTCATTGTGTGGTATGTACTACTTATCTGTGAATAAAGTGATATGTGCTTTAATTTTTCTAAATTTATTGAAGAATATGATTATGAGCGATAGTGTGACAATGGTGTGCCATTAAAAATCAATCGATACTCATTATCTAATTACTGTTTAAAATTACTATATAGAATTATGAGTTCATGAAGTGTTGTGCAATTTTTGTTTTACATTTTACTTGTTCTGTAACACGGTTTCATAAATAATCTGTGTATGCTCATAATGTAAATACATAATGCTCAATTTATAAAACTTTGTCAGATTTTTATATTACTGAAAACTGGTTTAAAATATACTGGTTTAAATAGTGTTTGTAGAGAATTGTTTGTATGCGCAAAACTTGAAAACAAATGCTCATTTTAAAAAACATTATGTGAATACTATTTTTACAGATGATGTTAAGTTACAAATGATGTGATACTCATTATTTGATTAGTACTTTCAAATGTCCATATATTGCTATGTGAACATCAAGTACTATGAAGTTTTTGTTTTAGAATATGGTTGTTATGGAATAAACGTACATTATAATTGTTTGTTTGTTCATTATGTAAGTGAAAAATGCTCATTGATGATAAGGTACAATGTACTTATTAAGTATGAAATGCATTTGTGATTCATGAATGAATATCTCATACTCATTTTAATTATTAATGAAGGGTTTTAGATGTAAGGCCAATAACTGAGATCCCAGTGTTGCGTGCAAAGCCAAAAAGGGAGTTAAAAAAGGTTTCCAAAGGTCAAGAGAAAAAGCAGAAGATAAAACCAGATAGAGCAAAGAACAAAGCTTCAAAGAAGCAGATATCTAATGTGGAAGCAACTGAGCAACATGAGGGTCAGACTGAGCAAAATGATAATGTTGAAGCAGTTCACAACGTTGATGTGGAAAGGAATAATGTGGAAGATGATGGTACCAATCAGCCAGATCAGAATGAAGCTGAAGAAGATGAAAATGTGGAAGAACAACATAGCGGTGATGTTGAAAGCAGTAAGCCAGATGAGCATGGTGCAAAAGAAAATGAGCAAACTATGACTCAGAATGATCAAAATGAGAATGTGGAAGCAGCAAAAGAGGATGGTTTGCAGAAAAAGAAAGTGGAAAGCAAGAAAAGAAATAGAAAAAATTCAAAACAAAGTGGAGAGCAAGCAACTTCAAGCAAACAAAATTTCCGAAGCTCTGGACTAGAATGTGAGGATGAGAGACCAAAGAAGAGAATAACAAGATCAACCACAGGAGAAAAAACTGAAAACAAGATAGTTGAAGTTAAGAAAAAGAAGAAAGAAGATGCTGCAAGAAAGAAAGGAAAATGTGAAGCAGAGACATCAAAGGCGGAGAAAAGAAAGTCGAAGAAGAAGAGAGTTGAAGAAGAAGAAATAGAGGACGAGGATGAGGAGGAAGAAAAGGAAGAAAATGATCAATTTCCGAAGCTCTGGACTAGAATGTCTCCAAGAAGTATAACTGAAATTATGACAGCAATGAGTGAAGAACAAAAGGCAGAGGTGGTGGAGATGGGGTTTGGTCCATTACTGAACCTTCAAATCAAGCAATTGCCGATGCAGTTGGCATATTGGACTGTTGAGAACTTTGATAGTAGAAGTTTGTCTCTTGTGCTACCGAACAATGAGAAATTGAGGACAAATGAAGATGCAGTGCACTTCACATTGGGGTTTCCAAAAGGAGACTTAAATGTGAAGAATTTGATTGACACCTGATGGATAGTCTACCCGGGGGGTATATATCCGAGGGGTTATTGCTGAGAATAACTTAGAGAGAAGTCAGAGCAAAAGTAAGTAAGAGAGAGAGTGTATTCAGTCTGAATGTCGTGGTTACAAATGGGGAAATGGGGGGCTATTTATAGTAGCAATAAATGCCGGACAGGGACACGTGTCAAGCATCCATAGGCCGAGAGGTCACCTCATCCGGTTGGCGCTGGCAAACGCATGTGGCCGCATTTAATGCGGCTGTTGGATGGGACGTTGCACAGGGTACGGTGACCTGTACGCGCGTGAAGAGGAGATCTTGTCGAGTGAGATGCCTTCGGCTATAGAGCAGTAGCCGAGGGCTCCTCAAACCGAGGGCACCCTGGTGCTGAGGGCTCCTGATGCCGAGGGCTACTGTTCTCGCCGTTTTCTCCCAGTTTCTTGGTTTGCTTGAGAAACCCGTTCTGTGAGAGTTTAGAGCCTTCGGCCAGGGGGTCGAAGGCACCCCTGGTGCGCTGTGGGCTGCTTGGTACTCCGGGCGCCATGATTTGGGCCTGTTGGACCTTCTGGGCCTGTTGGGCCTTTACTGGAGTAGTGGGAGTCTGTGGGCCGGGGGTTCCCGGGCCATATACTCCATCAACACCCAAGCTGAAGAAACATCACAAATGGTGGCTGATTGGAGATCCCAATTTGAGACACAAAATGGAGTTGTGAGGACTGGTCAATTGAGGAAGGTCTTAGATTAAAACAAAAGAGGTGGAGGCTGGTTTAAGAAAAAAAATTGGTTCTCCTTGAAACATGTCTGATTGAAGGTAAGCAAAACTGCTTTGGAAATCAAAGCATTCTGAAGGCTTTAAAGGATGATTCAAAAATACCAAATCTGAATTGGTGTTGTGACACTCTAAAAATTTAAATAAAAAAAATAATTGTTATTAGTCAGATAAAATGTTACAGAAATGACAATTTAATTATTAAATGAGTCAAACAAAAATTCAACAGATGTGACATTCGAATCAGATAAAATTTCCAAGTTTACGACATTTTAATCAGATAAAAATAGTCCGATAATAGAAGTTATGTTTTAGTATAAAATTAATTTTTATATAACTATTTTAAGTTGTATAACATACAAAGTACAAATTGAGTGTAATACACACATATATATACACGGTAAACTACACCTAAGTAATATACTAATATACTATGTATACGTACTCCTATTAGGTAAATAAACTATACCTAATAGAATTCTTATAGGCTTAGTATTGTACTTTACATTAAACTCTCTCTAATATAAATATATCTGCCAGGGCTCCTCAGGGAGTAACCTTTTCCATTATTTCACATGGTATTAAGAGCACAGTAAAAACCCTAATAATTTTTTTTTCGATTCTCTCTCTACTGCCGCCGCCAGAGATGACCTCTCCCTCCACGCAGGCTTCTTCCGCAGCGTTGTCCATGGCAGTTTCCTCCGCCGCTGGTCTATCTTCTTCTTCCGTCGCGGCAGGAATTTCCCTATCGCCCGGCGCTCCACTTCGGTACGGAACGCAGCCGGCCACCAACTCCGAAACAGGTGTGACATTTTCATCCTCCTTCGCTTCTCCCAGCCGGACCGCCGTGCCTCACTCTCTTTTTCCGACCATGCCTCCGGCGTTTCCTTGGCCGGCACCTACTCTAGTACAGCGGATGTCTTTAGATCCGCCACCCCTCTCGGCCGGGCCTTTTTCTGGACCCACGTTTGTTGGATCACCGGGTGTCTCCTCTACCCTACCCCCTCTTCGGACCACCGTGGGCAGTGCAGCCGGTTCCCCCTTGGCAGACCTTGTACACAGCATCTCTCATGTCGCTACTAATGTCACCAATATTGTTACCACAAAGCTCCTAGCAGTGGAAGACTATACTACTTGGCGTACCCAGTTTGAGTCCTTTCTTGTCTCACAAGGTCTTCTTGGCATGGTTGATGGCTCCATTCAGGTACCCCCTGCTTATTCCATAGATGCTCTTAACCGTCAAACTCACAATCCCGAATTTTCTACTTGGTTAAGAATTGATCAAACCATCCGTTCATGGTTATTTGCAACCCTATCTAGGGATGTTCTTATCGATGTACGTGATTTAAAACATTCATATGAAATTTGGGAGCGGTTGGAGTCTCGGTTTATGTCTGCTAGTTTAGCGAGATCTATGGAATTAAAGCGTTTATTTAATCAAATTAAAAAGAAACCTGATCAGTCCATGGATAATTATTTGCGAGAAATTAAAACATTAGCTGATGATCTTGCCACAATCAATTGCCCTGTGCCTCAGCGTGAAATTTTAAAAACTACTTCTATGGGTCTAGGACCTGAGTATGAATCTTTATACACTACTGTGTCCTTATTTGGACAAAATTTCCCGTTTGAGACTCTCCGTAATCATCTTCTTGAGTTAGAGCAGCGGGTTCTTTATCTCCGCTCCCAGGAGTCCAAGTCCATTCATCAGGCGTTTGGCGCGGCTGTTTCATATCCCAGGCAGTCGTCTGGGCAGCAGCCAACCCAGCAGAATTCAGGATCCACTCACCCGGTCGGGCAGCAGACTTACCCGGTCGGGCAGGCTCGGCAGAACGACGCTCCACAGCGCGGGCGAGGACGTGGGCGCGACAGAGGCCGCGGAGGCAGGGGGCGTGGTCGAGGACAGCAGCAGCAGGCATATTGGTTCCCCCAGGGGCATCCAATTTATTACCCCGGAGGGGGTGGGCAGCAGAGTACTCCTGCAGGGGGTGTGACATCTACGGGTACTGTTATTTGTAATTCTGCTGTGTCACATTTAAATATTAATGCTTTACCTGTCTGTGTTACTAACATTAGTCATACAGGCTTGCCATCAGACGGAGGTATTCTTGGATCTGTTCCCCACCCTGTTGTCTGTCAAATTTGTTTTTCTGCAGGTCATTCTGCCATTAACTGTCCTTCTCGTTTCACACAACCAACGTCTCCTGCTCTGTTGACTACTCCCGGTGACACTACTCCTGCTCTGTGGTTTCCTGATTCAGGAGCTTCTGCTCATATGACTGCGTCTGAAGGTAATTTAGTTAATAAATCTCCCTACACCGGCTATAATTCTGTTAGTGTTGCCAATGGTGCCCATCTTCCCATATGTAATATTGGTGATGTTGCTTTACCTACATCTGGTCGTCCTCTCACTTTAAAATCCGTTTATCATGTGCCTCAGTTAAAATATAATTTAATTTCCATTAAAAGGCTCTGTGCTGATAATAATTGTACTGTAATTTTTGATAAAAATTCTTTCTTGGTTAAGGACAAAGCAACAGGGGCAATACTTCTGCGAGCTACTAGTAGTGGACCACTTTATCCTCTCCATCTGCCGTCTGCATCACCATTAGTTTTTGCTTCCGTTTTAGCTTCTGGCCCTGTGTGGCACCGTAGATTAGGTCACTGTGGTGATAGTACTTTACAGTTTCTTAAGAGAAAACAATTTTTATGTAGTCATACTCCCTTTACTCATGAGTGTGTGGCCTGTCGTTTAGGAAAATCACAACGTTTACCTTTTATGGATGCTAGTCATAATTCTATTTTTCCTTTGGAAATTATACATTCTGATGTGTGGCAGTCACCTGTGTATTCAAATTTGGGATTCAAGTATTATGTATGTTTCATTGATGATTTTTCTCGTTATACTTGGATATATCCCATGTGTCACAAAAATGAGGTTTTCTTGCACTTTAAAAATTTTAAAGCTTTGGTTGAAAATCTTTTTAATCAGAAAATTAAAATTTTTCAAAGTGATGGGGGAGGTGATTTGTTAATAATAATATGCAGCAATTTTTCTCTGCTAATGGCATTTACTTTAGAAAATCTTGCCCTGACACACCTCAACAGAATGGGGTTGCTGAGCGCAAGCATCGTCATTTACTTGAGTTAACTAGGACCATGCTTCTTGAAGCTTCGGTTCCGAGTCACTATTGGGTCGATGCCATATTTACTGCTGCATATATTATTAATAGATTACCCTCTCCTACCTTAAATGGTCTTACTCCGTATCAAAAACTGTTTAACCGAGTTCCAGATTACTCCTTTATGCGAGTATTTGGTTCTGCCTGTTATCCAAATTTTAATGCCACCTCAGCCAATAAATTATCACCTCGTTCAGTTCAGTGTGTTTTCCTTGGCTATGCATCCGGTTATAAAGGCTATCGTTGTTTGGATCCTTTCACAGGTCGAGTCTATGTTAGCCGTCATGTTAGGTTTCATGAGGACACATATCCTTTTAAAACTCTCTCGTCTGCTCCATCGAGGTCTATTTCTACTACACCATCTCCTATGCATCTCACCGATATCACTCTTGACCCACCTCTCCAGCCTGTTCCCACAATTACGGCCGCACCAGCACCAACCCCATCATCGCCACCTCGGTCACCAAGTATGCCTATCACTCCGTGTGTACCGTCGGCCCATTCCTCCTATCCCACGTCCACAACCAGCCCCCCACCATCCCATCTCTCCTCCCATACTTCGTCTAGCACGCCACAGCCAACATCAACCGACACTGTCTCACCTGAAACCACCTCACCTACGTCCACTACGGTAGTTAATCACCATCCCATGCAAACCCGTGCTAAGTCAGGAATTTTTAAGCCTAAAACCATTTTTAATTTAAGTACAGTTACTGTCAATGCAGATCCTACCTGTTTTACTGAGGCAAATAAACAATTAAAATGGCGTGAGGCAATGGCTGATGAATTTAATGCACTCATTAATAATAATACGTGGGACTTGGTGCCCTTTGATAACTCTAAAAATATTGTTGGTTGTAAGTGGATTTATAAAACTAAATATCATTCTGATGGATCTTTAGAGCGCCATAAAGCTCGATTAGTTGCACAGGGTTTTAATCAGCAGGCAGGTATTGATTTCTCTGAAACTTTTAGTCCTGTCGTTAAACCCACCACTGTTCGTATTGTACTTACTCTAGCTATTTCTTTCGGGTGGGGTATACGACAACTTGATGTTAAAAATGCCTTCTTACATGGGAATCTGACAGAAGAAGTTTATATGCGGCAGCCCCGTGGTTTTATTCACCCTCACTTTCCTAATCATATTTGTCGTCTGCGGAAGGCCATTTATGGCCTTAAGCAAGCTCCACGAGCCTGGTTTCATAGATTTAGTAGCTTTCTTCTACAACATAATTTTTCCTGTAGCAAATCCGACAATTCTTTGTTCATATACCGCCAGAATAATACTATTATCTATTTATTACTATATGTGGATGATATTATTATTACTGGCAATTCTGATTTCTTTGTTACCCAATTTATTTCAATTATATCTAAACATTTTGCTATGAAAGACTTGGGTAATCTCCATTATTTCCTGGGTGTTGAGGCCATTCGTTCAGCTAAAGGTTTGTTTCTCTCTCAACATAAATATGTTACTGACCTTCTAGCTCGTTTTCACCTTCATACTGTCAAACCTGTTCGCACCCCGTTAGCTTCCCGTACCACTCTGTCTCTTTCTGATGGTGAGCTACTATCTGATTCTACTGAGTATCGCAGCATGGTTGATGCATTACAATATTTAACTTTGACACGGCCAGATATTACTTATGCAGTACACTTAGTGTCTCAGTTCATGCATGCTCCTCGTACCACTCATCTTTTTGCAGTCAAAAGAATTTTCAGATATTTGCAGGGAACACGAGATCATGGACTTTGGCTTCAGCAGTCTAATCGGCCAACCTGTATAGTTGCTTACTCCGATGCAGATTGGGCAGGTTGTCCTGATAGTTCTCGGTCTACCACAGGTTTTGCTGTATTTTTGGGCCCTAATTTGATTTCCTGGAAGGCTAAGAAGCAGCCCACTGTGTCCAAGTCCTCCACAGAAGCGGAATATCGTGCCATTGCTTACACAGTACAAGACACACTACATATCCGTTCAGTCCTGTTCGAACTTGGATGGCCTATCTCCGAGCCGGTACATTTATTATGTGATAATATATCTGCTTCTTACTTGACTGCAAATCCAGTTCACCATGCTCGAAGTAAACATATTCAGATTGATTATCATTTTGTTCGCGAACGGGTTGCTCATGGAGATCTGATTGTTCAACATGTTCCTACTCATCTACAGCTGGCAGATATTTTTACTAAAAGTCTATCTAGTCAACGTTTTCATTTTTTTGAAAGACAACCTGTGCGTTGTATCTCCCGCACAGTTTGAGGGGGTGTAATAGAATTCTTATAGGCTTAGTATTGTACTTTACATTAAACTCTCTCTAATATAAATATATCTGCCAGGACTCCTCAGGGAGTAACCTTTTCCATTATTTCACAATACCTACGTACTACTATCAATAGTAGTAATATACAATGCTCCGTAATAGAGTTAAACCTAAAATACAAGACGTGTGTATAACAATACACTTATATACAATCTCTCCAATAGTAGACAATTGAACTTGTGCTATGTACAAGGACAAGAAAGAGTCCACGTTCAGAAGCTTGAGTTCTCAGGAAACTTCATTGAAGTGTTCGATAAACTTAACCTCCGTACGAAGCATAACAACTTCAAACAAATCGGATAAACTCGAGGGAAACCCTAGGAGCCTTGAGAACGGTATAAATATTGGCCTCAACCTTCACTTTCTTTCACCTAGAGCAGAGCTCGAGCAATATATACATACACATATACGTATATATACAAAATTGTGACTCTTCGTTTTAGCCAGAGACAAGCCCTCAAAACACATCTGAAACATTCCCCTTCGTGAGACGAATACAACGGAGAAAGAATCGTAGAAAACGGTCGTCAAACGAGGGAGAAATAGCTCGCCGGAGTTTCGTCGGGCTAACCGTAAAGACGGTAAACGGAGAAGAAGGAGGAGCTGCTGCCACCACCAGTCCATCTCCGACCGTCGCCGTTGCAGAAGGACCCCTCTACCACCATCGTTTCACGCTTCCGTCGAGGTAAGACTTTCCCCCTTGCTTTTGGCCGTTGCCGGCGTCGCGAGGAAGAAGACAATTGTCTTCCCTTGTTTTTCTTTGACCTGGGCTGTGTTCCTTCATTGGGCATGCTCTGTTTTTTTTGGACCGATAGCTTTAAAAACCTTGGGCTGGCCGAAAATCTATAATATTAATATTAATAATAATAATAATCTGCAAAATGGATTTATTAGAGATGAGAAATATTAATGATGAAAATGGCTTGATTAATTGATGGTAATCACTTGGATAATTTTGTTAATTGTTAGTTAACATAATTACGGACTCGGAAATATAAAGGTTTGGATAATTAATAAAATCAGATTAAGTTGATGATGATTAGTTAATTTAAATTCAGATTAACTAATAATGTTACGTTATAAATTAATTACGAAAGTTGAATAGTTTAAATTCGGATATGTTTTAATGATATTAGAATATAGTTAAGTATTTGGATGTTCTATAAATAGAGTAAATTAATGGTGATTTGTAAATCATAAATGTTGAAGTTAATTATATTCGGATATTTCATTTAATTATAGAATTCAAATATTGTAATTAATGGCTGAATTAATGAGGTAACTTGATTAATAAAAAGTGATTAACTTGAATAATTAAATAAATAAATTAATAAATTCGAATAATAACATAAAAGGGAAAAATTGGATAAATTATGAAAAATAGAATAAGTGACTAATTATATCATCTTAATTAAAAAGGTGAATATTTAGAGACCGGAATTGAGGAAGAGAATTAGGAGCGTCAGGACTTAAAGTAAGTTTCTCTGCCAATCCAAAATTGTTTCCTCGTATTATATGCTTATTATGCATTATTATGTGATTAAGTGTGATTTTTGAATTGTGTGTATGTGATTTTGAGGAATACAAATTAAAAGTACTTTTTTGGGGTATTAAATATTTTTAAATACCTTTGAGACTATTTAGAGAGATTGAGAAATATTTTTGGAAGTAAATCTTGATTCAAGATAAAATTAAGGATTTTATAAGAGGTGAGCGCCCGGGAGAAATCCGTGGTGTCGGTTTTTCCACATCCGGATAAATGTGGAGGGTGGTTAGAGCTATATACCGCGGGTTTAGTTTAGGATGATTATTGGTGGCGGGAGAAATCCCGGTAAATATTGGTGGCGGGAGATTCCCGGTATTTCTTTTGAGAACTTTAAAAGTTCTTTGGTGGCCGCGGTAGTAGTTTCTAATCACCCGGGTATCTAACCCATTGTGAAGTAGGGGGACGTTGTCCGAACTACTTGGACTTCTTACTACTCAGAGGGCTTGGAATCCCTTTTAGGGGGTGTGCACACTTAAGGGTGAAGTTCAGTTTCCAATTGGTGGTCGGTGGGAGCCGGAATTCCGGGATGAGTCGTACACAACAACGATTCATTGGGCTCGAGGAATCTTGAGTTTCGCCCATCTTAAAAGAATTTGAAAGTGACATTGATTTCGGAATGGTGATATTTTTAGCTACAAAAGTTATTTTTGAAAAGTGACACTTCTTTTGAGATATTAATTAATTGTTGGGAGCTTATAAATATTATTTTTAATTATAAGGGTATTTGAGATTATAAAGTTGATAAATGATATTTTTGATTAAAAAGTATTTCGGTGGTGTGAGTATTTTTATATAGTATTATATGAAAAACTATTTTCGCCGAACCTGATTATTTTACGGGGTTGGGTAGTACTTACTTAGCTCTAAAGCTAATTTTTGTTTCCTTTTCTTTGTTTCGTTTTCTGCACTTTATTTGTGCAGGTAATGATGAATATGAAGCTCATGATGTTTGACGAGCCTTGAGAACGCTTTAGAAGATTTAAGTGTAGTCTTCACTTAGTTTAAATAATGTTGTTAAATTTTGAATTTAAGTTTTTAATTCGGTTGAACTCATGGTGGATAGCCTTAACATCCAGCCAAGTTGAGGGCTGGGTGTGGCGGTAACACACCCTTTTTCCATTATTGTTATTTCCGCTGCAAAACTCTATCTATTTTTAATGAATAAATCAAGGTTGTTATCAATATATTATTATTTCAAGTATTATTTTGGGCGGGGAAAATGGGGGTGTTACAAGTGTGGATATGCATTGGAAATTTTAATTGAAGCAAAGGACTATTGGAGCAAGAACAGAACAAGACAGTTCCCTGGGCCTCTATTGTTTCTGATTGTAAGTTAATGCTCAATTCTATAATCTTATTAATCAAATTGTTATATGCATTACACATTTCTAACAACTTATGAAATATGTAGATGTTCTATGTTGACAATGTTATGTTCAAAGGAAGAAAAGTGCAAAGAGGATTGTCATCTATCATTGGATGGACAACACAAAAATTGAACAAAAGAGAGAAGGAAGAAATTGAAAGTGGAGGGTTTGGATTTGGATATGTGGATGAAGCTAACATAGGGGAACTTACAATTCCAAATGTGAGAAGAAATGAAGAAGAAGTTGAAAGGGCAAGTGAGGGAGACATCAATTAGAATCCAAAGAAGGTAAGAGAGCTGTATGTAAGTTTAAGAGAAAATTTTGGGTAAATATATAAATGAGAATTCTGATTTCTTTGGGATAGTACAATGAGTATAGTACATTAAAAAAATGAGTATTCTTTGGAATAAACATGTTTATATTCAGTAAATTACGTGTTGAGTATTAAAATGAGTTAATGTTATACTACAGTGATTATTATTTTTTATAATAAATGTGTTACAATATGAAGTGATTATATTACATGTGTTGGTTATAAAACATCTAAGTATAAAATTTTAAAAAATAAAAGAGGAGCAATATTATCATATTATACATTTGTGGTAATGGAATGAGCATTGGTTGGAATAAATTGTTTTCATATGAGGTGGAATGCGTTACTGTTATAGTAAAATGATTAAAAATGATTATTATGGTTATAATAAAAGTGTTATATTATGTAGTATTTATTTTACATGTTTGGGTTATAAACAATATGAGTATAAGCTTTTATAAAGTGAGCACTATAATGTTTTAGTTGAGCAAACAATAATGAATAAATTTGTTTGTAAATAAAAGCAGGATGCAATGAAGGAATTTGCTTCAGCGGCAAAACATTTGGCTGAAAGCATCTCAAATTTTGATGAGAAATTTCAACAGGCTGCACAGGCTTTGCCTGATGATGAAACCATGAAAGTGTTGCTTGGAAAAGTTCATGGGCTATTCAACATCTATTCCACACAACCACAAACAAATGAAAAAGGAAAAGAAATCTCAATGTCACAATATGATGATTTCTGGACCGAAGATGTACTGAAAGCGGTAGAAGCAATTGAAAATGCGTAGAAGAAAAGGATTGATAGGCAAACATTCATACAGTATGAAAAGCCGAGTTTCAGACTGCTATCCCAGGAATCAAATGAGTCTCCAATCACAGGGCAACATAGAGAACAGGAGAATGAGGGTACAACTGCTGTTGACCAAGAAGATCAAATCAATGAGCATCAGGGAGTTGTAAATGAGCAACAAAAGAATGTTAATGAGCAACAAAAAAACTTTGAGGAGCAGAATGACCAAAGCAGCCCAGAGGATGAAACAAGGGTGCATGAGTCAAGCAGTACAAGTGATGAAATCACTGATAAAATTTCTGAAAAGGGAAAAAATATTTGCATGGAAGGTGAAGATGGTGAGCAAAATGTATTGAAGACAAAAAGAAATGTGATGCCTGCACCTGCTTTAAAGTCACCATTTGTGAACAGAGTTACAGAAATTAAGGCACCACCAACCACCGAAGAGATCAAGGTAGCTCAATTTGTGTTTAAGGAAGGCACCGATAAAAAGTAAGTAATTAAATACTTCTCATAAACAATTATTATATATTTAATGAAGAATGCATAATTACTTCAGGCTTTTAGGCTCTTGGAATTTTGTGAATTGTGAGTAAAGTTTGAAATTAGATGTCTTACATGATTAAAGATTGTAAGTTTGTGATTTAAGATTGTATTTTGGATCAAATAAGCATGCTGCATGCGTCCCTTGTTTGAATTTGTATAGTTTGATGTTATGGACTGGAGAATAGTAATTGTATTTTATCATTCTACTAATCGCAGGAGAAAATTATTGTTCTTCATTGTCCAATCTTAATGTGCTAGCTTAGATCTCAATCTGTTTAAATTGTCAATGGAATGTTCATTGCATTTTAACAATTTGATGCCCTGTGCATGTGACTAGAATGTGTTGACTGTTTGTTTGTTTTTAAACTCATTAGTGATGTGTTATACAAAGATGGAGATGTTGTTCTTTCAAAAAGTGAGTAAGAGAGTCTAAATATAAGCTGTAAAGTGAATTCACGACTGATAGACGTGTGGGCAATGATTTTGAACAACAACGAGACTCTAAGAAGCGATGAAGCAAGGAAAAGATTGATTTTCACAACAACACCATGTGCAAGAATTATGGATTTACATATTTGTTTTTATGAATATATTTGAAAGAAATTTATTAAATTAAATTATCTATTTATAGAGAGTGTTAGAGGAAAATCAGTTGACTGCTCCACAAACAAGAAGCAAGAGATTTGTTGATGCTACAAGGGCCCAGTTCACCAAGCAAATGCCAAAGTGAGAAACATGGATTTGTTTATTTTCCCAGTTGAACAAAGTGGAAGATACTACGTGATGACTTTTGATTTAAAGTACAATAAGTTCTTCATCATTGATAGCTGTGATGCAGAAACATCTATTAAAATGAAGTATCTTTTGTAACCAAACCGTTTGGTAAGTGTGAATATTATTGTTCTTTTAAATGAGTACTGTAGCTATTCACAATGAGCATTATTTCATATTTATTGAGCTTTATTATAAGAAATGTTTATTATAATTTTTTTTATATTTGCAGAAAAGTGTTGTATTGAAATGGCTTAAAGATGAAAAGCATCTTGAAGCAGACAAAGTCAAAAACATGAAGCCAGAAGTTTTAAAAATGGCATGACGCAACAAGAATAATAAAGCAAATGAAAGAGTGTACGTGATGAGACACGTGGAAACCTTCAATGGAGAGAGTGATTGGGACTGTGGTCTATTCAAAGATAATGTAAATACACATTAGTTTATGAAGATTTAATGCAATATCAATAGTGTGTCAAAACAACATAAGCTAATACTGACATATTGTAATTGTGCAGGAAAAGCCATTAAACATATTGAGGGTCAAGTATCTGCACAAAATGCTCACATTTCAGAAGAATGAAGTAAGGATGGAGGTGATGGAAAGAGTGAAAGAAAACAAACTGTTATGAATGTAATCAACAAAAAATCATTTAATGTGCAGTTCTGGTTTAATGGTTTAATCAGGAAAAACATATTTTGTTTGTGTTTAATGACATATTTAGTTTGTGTTTAATGACTTTATGGTGAATTTGAATGTTTGAACTACTACATAATACTATGTTATCTAGAAGACGTGTAATCCTATTGATGACTATTACTGTTGTTTTTTAATTAATCACTATTACTATTACTATTTGGTATATTACTCTTAATCTTGATTGACATTAAACAACGTAGTAATATTGAATGATGACAGATGCATATGTGAAGTTCTATGGTGATTTCAATTGGTGCTTATACACAAATTTAAGAATAAATGATCATTTTTAACTGGTTCTATGCTCATTTCATTTGTTACTTATACACAATTTTAAGGACTGACCCCTGAAAGTTAAAAGCATTCAGTATGAAAGTAGGTCAACTTATTTTATTATTAAAAAAAAGCTAGGGAGTGTTTTTTCAAAGTATTAGTAAGTTAGGTATAATGGCATTGTGTGAGTAAAAGTGACTACGAAATGAAATAGCTAATTTTATGTAAAAGTGTCTTTTTGGAAAAATAGTAAATATTTGTGTTAATTGCGAAATAGTAAATATACACAATAATGATGATTGTATTGTTGAATGGTGACATTGAATTCATGAAGTTTATATTAATAATTATTACTAGTAAAGTGTATACACAATAATTGAGGAAGCTCAGAGGCTGTGTGAGTCGCTTGGTGTTCGAATGAAACATATTTCAGAGAAATGAATTTAGTTGCTCACAAACTCGCTCATGTTGGTTTGTCGGTGGGTGTTTTTAGAAACTTTACCTCTTTTAACGACTTACCCTCTGCTATTATTTCTTTACTAGAACTTGACAAATGTGGGATTCCTACCTTTAGAAATTAATCTGTTTTGTTTTTCAAAAAATAAAAGAGGGGTATTGGTTCGGTCACCCTCTCTATTTGTACTTCTCAACGATGATGAATAAACTTTTTTCTCTAAAAAAAGTGTATGCTCATTAAGTATGAAATTAGGTTAAGAACATTAAGCATGAAATTAGGTTTACTAATTTTCTTATTAAATACCAATTTGGGAAATGTTTTTTCAAGCAATATTCATTTCAATACTCATTTTGTTAACACCTGTTACGCATTATATTAGAAAGAATTACTCAAAAAAATATTATATCAGGGGAATGTATGATTCAATAAAAGTAAAAACAAAAACAAACACATAGAGAGAAAAGAACATGTAAAGTCTATAAGTGCACATTACAGAAACTAAAATGATAAGAAAAGGATAAAATATGTTCTTTTTTGAATAATAAAAAAAGTATGTAAACAAAAACAAAGCTTTTAAAAGTGTTTACAATTTTCAGGGTTCAATAAGTGAGGTTCTTGGTGCAGTTGACTTTTTCCTTCCTCGGGCTTGATTTGATTTAATCTCAACAATACTTTTGCGCCGAACATTTCTTTCACCTTTTTTCCTTGAACCTTTGGGATTAGAAATTGTACCAACTCCAATTGAAGCTGAATCACTGTCTGAGAAGTAAATACTGCCAACTTGTTCTTCAACATCATGTTTCAATTTTTTGAATGACTCTTCACAAAGCAGCCTCGCTGACGCATTAGAATCAATAGAACACAGAAGTTTGTGGAGTTTCCTTTGCATTTTCATTCTCCAAATAGAAGGCAAAACATTAGAAGTATTGGATAACATAGATGACTAACTCTGTTCAACTGACTTTGCTATTCGAGTCCAACGTTTTAAAACATAAGAATCAGGAAGAACTTCAACGCAGTGGATATGATATATACGAAGACAATGGCAGCACAAAATACCAACTTCTTGAAACCTCTTACATGAACAATCAACAAAATGTGATGTCGTGTTATACGAAACCCAATGTGAAAACTGATCATTATGAGGCATCCAAACTAAATATCGAATAACAGAACCAAAACAATGTTTAACCTCATGTTTCAAAGACATAGCACGGACAAACTCCTTCTCAAAAAGCTTGTAAGCATCAATCGTGTAAATTCGAGAAGCTTTATGTAATATACCAAGATGTGGGATTGATATCTCGGGGAAGCCATCCCAACAACGCTGTTGATCTGATCTCTCATTACTCCGTCATTCACTAACAGCTTCACAAAAAAAGTGATAGAAATCACAAAGAGAAGACGTTGCATTCAACTTTCTAGACAAAGAATTATTCGTTGACTCGCTTCTTTGTGATGATAAAATGCCAGCAGAAAAGTAATCTTTTGAAAATGATGGACACCATTTCTCCCTAAGTCCATATAGTTTCTTTAACCATGCATTTTCAGAACAATTGAAAGTAGTGACCATCCTGCAAAAATTAAAAGCAAAAAGAACAATAGTTTACTCATCACAATTAAGCCATTACTCATTTGTAAACAATTGACAGTGTAAATAATAAATTAATTAAAAAGAAAGAAAACAAGTGCAGTAATAGATGATACATGTTCCAATAATAGTCAAACTCAGAAACTGTATGACAAAGTTTCAAAACATGATCAAATAAGTCCAAAAGGCCTTCGTCATTCCTCAAGTCTCGTATATGTTTTTTAGAGTTTTCAATGATGTGCCCATATGCAAAGACGGTGTTTTGAACTAGGAAAGACCTTACATATACCAGCAGCCATGGATGCAGACTGATCTGTCATAATGGTTTTTGGATGAACTGAATCCATTGAAGTCAAAAACGTGGTAAAGAGCCATTCAAAGGATTCAATGCGTTCATTCAACAAAAACCCACAACCGAACATACAGTTATGCGTATGATTGTTAATACCTACAAAAGGACCACAAATCATATCGTACTTATTTGTACGATATGTAGTATCATGAACAACCAACTCTCCAAATGCTAAATAGTCCTCTTTCATTTGCTTGTCTCTCCAAAAGAAGCTAACTAAAGAACCATCAACATCAACTTCAAAAGAGAAAAAAAAGTCTTCTTCATTTGTTTGTCTGTTCCTAAAGATATTAATCAAAGTATTTGCATCACAACCTTCAAAACTTTTTTTTGTTTTTTTCCAATTCATTGTAGACATCGCGCCGCACGAAAACAATTGAAGGAGAGCCACCTGCTTCAGCTTGTAAACAGCGGAAACCGTCAGCTATTTTTACTCCTCTATTTCTCAAATGATTCAATTATGTCAACTCAGAAGAAGAAACATCACGATGAGACCTCACGTGATGAACTAAAGAACCAGGACAGAAAGAGTGATTGTGATCCATAAGATGTCTAACCACAACCCATTCACCATTGCTTCTAAACTCAAAATAAATTTTTGCTTTGCAACCTGTACGACGATCAACTTTGGTGAATACCTTACCCTGTACACCTTTATTTTTCTTAGAACCTTGTTTAGTGCAACAAAATTCTCTGCCTCTAACATCACAGCAACCTTCTTTCTTCCGTAGAGTAGAATAACGAACGCCAAAGCCAATCCTAAAAGCATACTCATTATACAAATCTAAAGCTTCTTTCTCTGACATAACAGTTTTTCCAAGAAGCTCAGAAACTTCAGCTTCTTTAAGTAAAAGGGAAGAATCAGATTGTGGTATAGAATCAAAACTGCTAGAAGAATGGTTAGCTGCAAAAAACAAAAGTTGAAGCTAAAATAAAATGATCTGGATCAAGGGAAATGGGGAAAAAAGTAAAAAGGTGTAAATAAAATTATAACAAAGAAAAAGATAATAACACAAAACCAAAGGAATTACCTGAATCAAATTTAAGTATTTCGCCTCTGGATTCAATGTCTTCAATTAACTGTCCAGTAAAAGCAATTTCATCTGGAAAAGGATAAAACAAATACATAGACTAAACGCTCATCAAAAAGTTTAATTAAAATACCATAATGTTTTATCAGCTAATCATACTAATATAGTGAGTCGCTATAGAAATACCTGAAAAAGTAGACATAACTACTAAAGCTAAACCTGCAATAAATAAAAAACGAGTACATAACTTCGAAGAGCAAATTCGAAGAGAACAGATAAAAATCTGTAACGAAAAAGAGATGAATAAGATTAGATTGTTGCGTACTGGGAGACGATGAAAACTTCAAAGAGCAAATTCGAAGAGCACAGATGAAAGCTTCAAACAAAGATGATCAATTGTTGCGTACCGGGAGACGATTAACAGGAGACATGAACGGGAGCCGATGACTGGAAAAAACGGAAGCTTAATAAAAGGTATTACAAGGCACCTCAAAGTTGATAAGATTTACAAAATAACCGGGTGTACATGTACACCCGGGTGTACCGTA